ATAGTAAACATGATAATAATAATCATAATGGCGATGGTAATAATACTAATGATAACAAATTAAATATTGACTGCAACAATGATGGTGAAAATGACGATAATGATAATGAAAGTGAGTGTTAGCTTACTGACTGGAGACGATAATGTTCATAGTAATAAGAGGTAATGAAAGTGATAATGAATGATGGTTATAATGATGGCAAAAAGCGTAATAATGATGATCATAAAATTAATAATCATAATAATAATGATCATAATAATCAATAATGATGGTAATAATGCTAAGGATAATAGTAATGATAAAATAATGATAATGGTTATGACGATAACGATAATAGTAATAATTATATTCCAGTTTATTATTGATAATAATAATGACAATAATGATTGTAATGATAATGATCGTGATGATAAGGATAATAATAAAGATGATAATAATAGTAATAATTAATAGTAAATAATAACAATAAAAGGGCATGATAATAATAATGATAATGATAATAATAACGATAATGAGGATGCCAATGATAATAACAAGTAATGATAACAGTAATAATAGTACTCGTTAAGTAACATTAGCAAGAACGGTAATGATAGAGAAAATAATAAAAATATTAATGATGATTATGATGCTGAGAATAACAATGATAATGGTCTTGATGATGTCAGTGAGAATGATAAAAACAGCGATAGTGATAATGGTAATAACTGAAGTGTCAACGATATACTGAAAATTGGAGTGTTTTCTCCGTAGATTTTCACTATCATTTTGTAGTGATAGTGAAAATGACACTTATGGTAATGATGATGCTAATGCTGATGATTGTAATAATGATAATGGTAATGTTGATGGTAATGATAATTATGGTTATAATAGTAAACGTGATAATAATATTAGCGATAATGATATTGGTAATAGTGTAATAATGATGAAAACGGCAAAAATAATAACAATATGATAATGACAGTGATGATACTCACAACAACAGCAATAATAATAATGATAAGAATGATAATGATAATGATAGAGGTGAGGATGACAATGATAATGATAATTATGATAACACAAGTAACAAAATAATGGCGATGATTGTAATAATTAACACAACTGCTACTATTAATAATGACGACAACAACAATAATAATAAAAATAGTGATAATCATAATAATATAATGATAATAATGATAATAATAACAGTAAAGCATATTTCGAACTTCCACCCGACATCAATAAGCCGAATCAAAACAAAGCAAGACAAGAAAAATAAAACAAACAAGAGCAAAATAACCTATTTCGAGCTCCTCCCGACATCCGGATCGAAACAAATCAAAACAAGAATAAAATAGCATATTGCGAACTCTTCCCTCCCGAATCAAAAAGCAAAAAAAAAAAAAAAAGCAAAAAAAAAAAAAAAAAAAAAAAAAAAAAAAAGCCCATTTCGAGCTCCTCCCGACATCCGAACCGAAACAAATCAAGACCCAACGAAACAATAACCACAGAGTCTATTTCGACCTCTTTCCTCCCGAGCCCAGAGCCAGGACGAACTGCAACAGGCGACCTCGGCTTGCTACAGCCTCCTTCGCGGTTTCCTCAACGCCCTCGCTGCACAGGACCCCGAGTGCGCCAGGAGGTTCCTCTGCGAAGGCGCTGAAGAAGCCGCTGCTGCAGGCCCTGTAGGAGAAGTGATTGCTTCCGTCGGCAGGTGGGTTCTTGATGGCTTGGTGGGTTTTTGGTACTCATTTTTTTTCTTTTTTTGGTATTTTGGTGGATTCTTGATGTTCAAGTGGGTTTTTGGTACTCATTTTTTGTTCTTTTTTTGGTATTTTGGTGGATTCTTGATGTTCAAGCGGGTTTTTGGTATCCAAGTGCTTTATTCATACCCGTGAGGATTTCAAATTCTTTATTTTACAAGATTTTTGATGTTCAGGTGGGTTTTTGGTATTCCTTTGGGTTCTTGGTATTCAGTCAGATTCTCAGTACTCAGGCAGGTTCTGAGTATTCAAGTGGTTCTTTGAGGGGAAACCTTGATGATCTTCTAATAAGAGAATCATTTTAAAGCATAGATTTAGTCAAAGTCAAAGCATAAGGAATCCTTCAAAACCGAAAAAGAATATGATGAATATACGAAACCCCATTTAACCCAATAAGTATATCCAAGACAAAAAAAGAAAAAAAGATATCCCAAGCAAAAAAAAAAAAAAAAAAAAAAAAAAAAAAATGTATATAAAAAATTAAACGCAATAATTATATCCCAAGCAAAAAAGAAAGAAAGAAAAAAAACATTACACACACACACACACACACACACACACACACACACACACCATATATATATATATATATATATATATAATATATATATATATATATATATATATATATATATATAATGATAATAAAAAATATAAAAAAATAAACCAAATAAGCTTATCCCAAGCAAAAAAACAAACAAACCAACTTACAGGCCTACCTACCCCAACAGTGCCAACGCTGGCTCGTGGTTAGAGAAGGTAAACACCACGCTCTTCAGAGACGTGGGATCAGCTGGGGAAGCAGGTGCCCGGTTCCGTGGTTGCGCCGTCCGTTATTCCCAGTGCTTCGCCCTTCCCTCTGCTTATCGCTACCCTGGGGTGTATCGAACCCCACACCTGCCCTCCAGCTTCTATCAACCCCTGCTGCAAAACCTTATGGATCACGCGAGGGACACGCTGTTTTAACTCCAGTCGTGAATAGGTTTATCGTTTGTTTTCAGTAGGGTTTGAGTATGGTGCGTCTGTTGTTTTTTGTAAATTCCTGTTATTATTATTTTTTTTTTACTCTCTGTTCATTCATTTGTAAATAAACTTCAGTCCATTTCGTAAACATGTTTTATTTTCAACCTGTACGAAAATTCATTACAGTTTGGGGGACTTTCCTTTCTATGTGCAGATTATGGAATATTTTTTTTCGTGTTTATAAATAAATATGTATTGCTTACACGTAGGTATGGTGTAGATTCAATAGTGTTCACGTGTAGAGTTCATGTTCATAAGTAATTTGCATAAATCTCCTATATTGTTTACACGAAACTTTCATGTTTTGTTTATGTGTACCTTTCCCATTTTATTCACATATATTTCACATTTTATTCACATGTAAATGTCCTGTTTTCTTCACACAAAATCAATGTAGTGTTCAGATATAAATTTAATGAACTGTTCGTTATTCTCCTACGTGAACATTTAATGTTGAAGGGATTATCCAAATAAATCATATTTGATAAGAGTATGCTTTTAGCGTTGCTTCCAATGTCGATTAACAATAAAGCGTTTAGGCTTCTTTCTAGCGGTTGTTCACACACACGCACACGCACACACACGCACACACACACACGCACACACGCACACACACACACACACACACACACGCACACACACACACACACACACACACACAGTCAGCTGCTTGAAGGAAAGAATCTCGGTCTTTTTATGCTTTTGGCTGCGGCATAAACAACTATTCGTGGTAATGAAGGTAGTTGGGTGTATGAGGCGCTATTTCTCCTCGTCGAGTGCACCTGCGACCAATTTAACGTACCACGATAATGATGATAATGATAATGATGATAATGATAATGATGATAATGATAATGATGATAATGATAATGATATAATGATAATGGATAATGATAATGATGATAATGATAATGATGATAATGATAATGATAATGATAATGATGATAATGATAATAATGATAATGATAATGATGATGATGATGATGATGATAATGATGATAATGATAATGATGATGATGAAATGATGATAATGATAATGATAATGATAATGATGATAATGATAATGATGATAATGATGATAATGATAATGATAATGATAATGATGATAATGATAATGATAATGATGATAATGATAATGATGATAATGATAATGATGATAATGAATAATGATGAATGATAATAATGATAATGATGATAATGATAATGATGATAATGATAATGATAATGATGATAATGATAATGATGATAATGATAATGATGATAATGATAATGATGATAATGATAATGATAATGATAATGATGATAATGATAATGATGATATGATGATAATGATAATGATGATAATGATAATGATGATAATGATAATGATGGTAGTACTGATGATATTAATAATGATGATACGGATGGCATTAGATAATAAGGTGGATGGCTGTGATGGTACTAATGGTAACAAAATTGTTGATAGCGATGAGGTGTGATAAAGATGATAATGATAATCATGACTAAAATTATTGATAACGATAATAATGAAACTAATGAAAATAATATAAATAATGATAATAACTAATAATAATAACAATGATGAAAATAAAATAGATAATGATTATCATTATGATAATGATAATAACGATAATAATAGTAATGGTAGCAAGAATAACTATAATAACAGTATTAGAATAACATATAATGATTATCATTATGATAATGATAATAAGATAAATAATAGTAATGATAACAAGAATAACTATAACAATAACAGTATTAGAATAACATAAAATAACAGTGATAATGATAATAATGGTAATAATAGTAATAATAATAATTATGATACTAGTAGATACAATGATGAAAATACTGATAAGAATGATAATAGAATTATTGCAAGATTGATAACAACATTAATAATGATAACAGCAGTAGTAATAATAATAACAATAGTAATAATAGCAAAAGTATTAATAACAATAGTAATTATGACGATGCTACTGATGATAGTACTAATAATGATAACAATAACAATGAATATAATAATGATAACAATGATGAAGATTATTGATTATAGTCATTACTATCACATATCATCATCATTATTGAAGAAGCAATTTAGATCATCGAAGAGAATCATTAATACTCGTTTGCTAAGGTGTGAATAGCGCATGGCGTCGAAGCAAAATATTAATTAAAAAAGAGGAAAAAAAAGGATGGTAAAAGCATAAACGTATTTTTGGCCAACTTTTTATTAATCAGATAAAATACATATTACATGATTATAAGATTGTGATTGATGGGTTCTTGTTTGAAAGGAATCGTTTATTTTGAGGCATTTCAAGTATATAAACCTGTATTACACGTTGTTGAAAGAGGAAAACACATATAGAATATTGTCTTGCAGATAAAAAGATGGACCAAATGTCTTCACACATTTCTAATTTTAATCTGTGTATCAGTAGCTTTCAATTTTGTTTACATAATATATTTACAATATTTTGTCTTCACTTTCTAAACAGGATTACCAAGGGAGGTAAAACCCACAAGAGGTTTAGTAAACAACACCGAACATGACGCTAAACTATGCGATGATTCACGGGTTAAGGTCACGTTATTCTCTTATAGAATGCCTTTAACAATTCCTGTAAACAAAGACATAGTCACATGGATAATGAGTTTTTGTAAAGATATATCCTTACTGCATCACATTTAGTTGAAGGTAAACCGTCTTTGTAAAACTGCGCGACACAAGTTTTAAGATCTTCCGCATTCACAGAACACAGAAAGCAGTTTTCTTGCGATCACTGTCTCTTCTGGCGACAAGGTACTCGAGGTGCTTGGTGTCCACTGCGTCGAATGTAGGAAAAATATTACGATAGACAATGGATTACACGATACAAGCCATGCAACCAACGCCTCGGGCTCTTCATCTTCCTCAGAATTAGGCAGTTCTGACAAAGACGCAAGATCGATCCGCCATCAACACCAAAGTATCCATCTTCCTCAGAATTAGGCAGTTCTGACAAAGACGTAAGCTCGATCCGCCATCAACATCGCCAAAGTACCCATTCTCATCCATGCGCCCCCTTTTCTACACACGTTTTCATCAACCCGCTTCTCCACCGTTGGCCAGACGACATTCTCGAACGAGGAACCTGGAGCAGTCGGCGGTCCGTAGGCCTACATTTCTAGCCGAAATAACCTCTCGAAGACCCGCTCCAGACACGACGGTCGGGTAGAGACTGGTTACGCCGCTGTGACGGGGAAGAGGGAGAAAATACTTATTATGGACTGTTGATGTGTTTAGCAATATGCATGTATTCATTTGTTTATTTAGCATCATTCTTTGGTTGCTCATCGTCATGTGTATTTTGTCACAGGAAAAAAAATATCTAAAAGTAATTTCCCTTTTCTTTAAAGATATCAAGAAAATTTAAAGTTGGTGAAAATAAGGATGTAATGTACCTTCTAGAAAATATTAAGAAAATAAAGATGAGTTACTCTTGTTCACACAATGCTGAATATGAAAGAAAACGTATTTCCCAACGTTAGTAGCAAAAAAGAGGTTTCTTACTAAGAATGTGTAGTGGAGGAGAGCGAGTGGCTTGGCGAGAACGGAAACGACTTACCAAACGGAAAAGCTGCGGAAAAGGACGCGCTGCCAGACAAAAACGGCATCAAAATGACATCTCTCCTTGCAAGATTGCTGAAAAAGCGTCTTGCATGGCGAGAGTAGTGGAAAAATTCTTACCTAGCGAGGGTAGCGGCCATCGCCCCTACAGCGCCCTCTGCAATGGCCCTTGCAGAGGCGTCGCAGATAAACCAAAGGGCACAGTGTCTCTGTGTCTCAGCTAGGGCTAGCATATACCCTCGGGCCACACTGAACATGGCCCTCACTGCCGCCTCGTGGCATTCCCGACCTCCTAGGCACCACTCGCGCAGATTGATCTAGAAGAAATGCTTCTGGTCATAAGGAGAAAGACTCCGTTCAGGATCATAACAGCCTGACACGTATTAATATCACTAAATCAGTTACGTCACATTCTCAAAGCTAAAAGGTAAAGCCAAAACACCACAGAGGGAGAGCGTATAGCGAGCTCTTTCCTCCGACTTCGTCAGCACAGGAGAGCATTTTGCCATTTAGAACCGACCTTGTTCCCCGGCAGGATGACGGACTGGTAATGGAGGTTCGGCACGTCTTCGGGTCTCGTGGCGGACAGGCGCCGAGCCCGCCTCTGCTGCGCGCGCCTCTGCCTTCTCGTCATCGGAGGGAAGGGGGGTCGGCTGTCTCGATTTCCTTCTCGCTTGCTGGCGTCTCTGCCTTCAGATTCCGATGGCGGTGGTTTTGTTTCCTCTTGTTTGATGTCATCTTGTCCCTTTTCTTTTTCTGTTTGATTTGGCTTTTTCACGGCAGGTGGTAAAGGAACTGCTGCCGTTAATGTGGAGACAATGGTAGGCGTCGCGTGGATGGAGGTCTTTGGGCCGTAATCCGGGTGGAAGTAGAGAAAGGAAGAGTTTAAATGTTTATGAAGACTCGTAGTACTGTATAAGCCAGTGTCTAGAGTGCTCTGTAACTCTTTCTCTCTATGCCCCTTCTGCAGGGGTTCAAAATCTCTTGCGCGCAAGAGAGATGCCGAACTGAGGAAGACTCCCTGTCCTACTTCCAGGAGTTGAGACGCGGCGTCCTCCGCCTGGGGATTCTCTGACCCGTAGGTGGGGTACTGCTTCAGGAACCCGA